TTACTGTTATTGTAATGTTTTTTGAATTTAATTATTAATATTTTCAAAAAATGCAAAATATTTATATTAATATAAAATTCACACTTAATTCATGACTCAATTAGTGTTTCAAAACATGGCCTGAAAATTGTCTCTATGGGCGGCCAAACCGGCGGTGTATGAAGACTACCGGCGCCGCGGTTTAGAGCTGTTGCGAGTGAACGCTTCCAAACACACCTTCTTTCACGAGTTTGTCCGCGAAGTGAAGCGCGATATCGAGTTGACGGCCACTAATGGCGGCGCCGATACAGTGGCCGACACTTACCACTACATAGACGTGCCGTTTGTTCAGTCCATTGTCTGCGAGAACGGATCCGCACCACCGCTGGTGACCGCACCCACACTTAGAGGACCGCAACCACAACCACAGCAACCAATTGAGCCGATGGTGTGTTTCGTTGGCGAAGAACTCACATTCAAACTGTCGCTGAAAACACCGTTCGCTTATGTCTTACATCGACTCCGACTGTACGCCAACACCAACAACCACAACCACAGCAACCAATTGAGCCGATGGTGTGTTTTGTTGGCGAAGAACTCACATTCAAACTGTCGCTGAAAACACCGTTCGCTTATGTCTTACATCGACTCCGACTGTACGCCAACACCAGTACCACCGGTGCCGCCGACCAACCGCTCTGTCCGCACATCACCGCCACTCTGGACGCCACCGACGATCTCGAAGGCCAGTCATCGGTGGTCTACTTGTCTGTCGTGCCTCAGACTGAGGCCACGTTTGATATGCTGGGTGTGGAGTACCGGTGCGATGATGTGGTGGCCGTCAAGTGTCCATTCGGTGAACGTGTGGCCAAACGACTCCGCTTTCGAGCCGTCCGGTCGTTGCCATTGATTCAAATGGAGATCAAAACCCAGGGGACAGTCGCCGGCCCTCTGATCACAGCAACGATACCAGCCTTTGCCACAGAACTCATACCGATTGCCGTACGCCTGACCGCACCGACCGGTACTCAATGGCGGCCATCATCTGTACGGTTGACCACAAACGCTGTGATTGTCACCGACGACAGCGCATCGCCAGCCAATCCCAGCGCCGAGACTGACATCGATGTGCGGATCGACGGCCCGGACATACCTTTACGGATCCAAATACCGGTCACTGCGGGCACAGCCGGTGCTGACGACCACTACTCGCCGTACTTTAGGCTCGAATACCGGGACCAGAGCTCCGGTAAGAGTCGAGTTGTGACCAAAACGCTATCGTTTGTCGTCCGACAGTGTCTACGGCTGTCGGCCTCGAGTCCCGCCGCTCCAGAAGTGGTGTCCGTTTGCAATATACTAACCACTGGTGAATCGGTTCATGTGATGCCATTCCTGGGCCAACCCGTACTCCCAGTGCCGCCTAATATGACGGCTCACGTGCTCACCGATGGCCGCACTGTTCGCTGGCATATAGCGAGTGCTGACCCGACGGGTGTTGGTCTCAGGGCTGGGATTATAAGTTTTTGATCCCATTTTTAGTTCATTTGTTTATTACTTCTCTAATCTGTTATATAAATGAAAATTATTATTAGTTTTATATTTAATTAAAAATAATTTATGTATTTATTTAACAATTCTATTATACCGTTTTTATCCTCATAAAAATACCTGTAATATTATGTGAATTCCAGTTCAAATGTGATTTTTGAGAATCGGGGGTAATGTTATCTAGATAGTATTACCCCCATGTATTAAAACTCAGATAAAGTTACCGGTAATATTATATGAAATCTAATTCAAAACATTTATTCATTCAAATAGCAAATTAATACATAAAAATTGAAACAATATATTTAAGTAATGTTCATATCATTAAAATCATCGACAAAATCAATCACTTCTTCAGTTTCTTCATTATCCGATTCGGTGTCCGTAAGACCTGTCGCTTCATATTCTGGTTCATTGATTATACCGGTGTTTATGATGTCTTTAAGTCGTGAATGAAGAGCTGAGTCGTCCCGCACTGAACCCATTCCACAATACTTGAAACTATCAATAATTTGTTGTTTTGGTAACTGATCCCAAGCGGTGAGACACCAATTGGCGACGAGAGCATAAGAGGGGCGCTTAGGTTTACCACCTTTAGTGAGTTGAGTGGAGTCTTTGGGCAAAGCCATCCACTCGGCCCACAATCTCTTAATTGTCGCCTTTACTGACCGATTCCAAGACACGTCCGCGGGTTGTAAAAGAGGTGTCGTTCCGGACGGTATGATCTCAACTTTGGTGTCGTGTTGTGCGCCCATTGTTTTGATAAATGCCTTATCTCTATGAGGTGTGGCCGCATCGATGGCCAATAGTGTCCGGTATTTGGGTCCGTTCGGGCGTTTCATATGAAAATTGAAGAAATAGCCGCCGGGTCTTGTCTTATAGACACTTTTTCTCCACTCACTCATTAGACCTTTATTGACAGACCCTTTGTCGCTAACCATTATCTTAATTCCTTTGGGAAATTTCTCTTTTTTGGGCACTTTTTTCAATCCTTTGAAAATGATCGCCGGTTGACATTTACGGCCGTCATTATAAGCGCATAATATAAGTGTAAACCGAAGTTTATCACAACCGGTGGTCTTCACTTGTACTGTCTTTGCGCCAATGGTGTCATATGTATGACTTTGCGGTGAATCAAAGTACACCGGCATCTCATCCATGTTTAGCATAATTACTTGCGAACCGTTTTGTTGTGTGCGAAAACTATCGACTCTATCGAGAAATAATCGGCAAATTTCGGGCGCGTTTTCGGGAACCTTTTGTCCAACACTTGTGACAACTTTTGATGCAAGTCTATTGCGATCAAGAAATCGCATAAGCCATCCGACGGACGCACGAAAACCTTCTCCTGTATCAGACATCTGCCCGAATATCTCAAGTGCTTTGTCTTTGATTTGATCGCCTTTTACCGTAAGTTTTGCCTCTCTTTGGGACTTAAACCACCCAAAAACCTTGGCGTCGAGATCAGGAAATTTCGGTTTTCTTGCTTTCGGTAATCGACGTCTTGTGCGAACACTAAATGTTTGGTCATTTGGTTTTTCCCGATATTTGGCTTCATTTTGTGTCCAATATATGATCGACTGTCGGGTGTATTGCGGGAAATGTTTATGGGTTTTGTGTTTACTTTTCCCGTTTTCGTTATACCAATCGATGACTTTTAGTTTCGTTTGAATCGAAATGTCTTGTCTTTTCAGTTTGCGTTTTTTTGTGACCATCGGTTGACTGACATTGTCTTCAACTGAGACTAAATCTCCATTCGTTTGATTGTCTTCACAATCAGTGTCTAAATCAACATAACTTTCGTCATTGCCTTCAATCGATTCTTCATTCAACTCAAGATCCATATCTTCAATCATGTCTTCACACATGTCTTCATTTGAAATGTTATCCATATTTTAAGACAATTAAGTGTTTAGTTATTGCTATTAACTCACACTCACTGACAGGAAATGGATATAATATAACCTTTTTAATCGTTACTGAAAACCATTTTAGTTTTGAAAAACTTTTGTACAGTTTATGGTATTTGTCTTATGTGTGTAATACTAAGCGAATTTCAATGCAATTTTCAATGATTGTAATTTCAGGGGTAATCTTACCTAGATAGTATTACCCCCCTTTGCTGGATTTCACATAATATTACAGAGTATTATAATGAGGATAAAAACGGTAGAAATACATGTAATGACTTTATATTGGATTAAAATTATAATTAAAATACTAAATATTATATTTAATCTGTTTTTATAAGTGATTGCGAGAGAGAGAGAAATTTGTATGTCGTATGAAATGATGTGAGAAACAATCAAAACTGAATGATTGGCCGTAATAAACAACTATTAGACAAATTAGCTTTCATTAGGCATTTGGCAACAACTGAATCAATGGCAAATCATATGATTGATCCTTGTATTTGCAAACAAACCAATAAATTATTTGCATTCACTATGTTTTCATGTCTCTTATGGTAAACATTACTTATTAATCCTGACAATCATTAGCAACCAATACACAATTTACTTTATATTTACATGTATTCATATATGAAAATTGTGCATTTAATTGATTTGTATATTTTCACTGTGCAGTTGCAGAAGGTTTCCAATTGATAAAAATATCATGTACTTTAGAAAAAAAATTAATTTTTCGCTAAATGTTTTACCACAAAAAAATCCATTTTATGAGATATGAAATGAACACAATTTTGAGTATTTTATATATGTTTAGCGGAATTAGTGTTTGGATCAAACATAGGGTGCTTTTGAAGCGTAAAATTGTGAGACTTATTGCTGGCCTTTCGGAATGGAAGGCAACTCTCGGTTGGATTTTATTTTATTATATGAATCGTATAAAAGAGCAAACAATCGATTTGTTTGTGCATTGAGTGCACCAATAATTGGGGCATTCATTCAGTCGCCGCTTCACTCTTTTACACAGCGCTTTCACTTCAGGCAAAACCAGTAGTGAATACGGGTTTCACTTGTGTTACAATCTCTACTGTCTATATATTATGCTATACTGTATACTTATATATTACTTTTATTCATTGATTATTTATTAACTATAATTTAATTAGTCGACTATTTTGTCATTAAATAAAACATAAATCTTTATTATTTTATTGTAATTCTGTATCGAAAATATATCTTTATTTTCTTTCTCTTTCTATTCTAATCAATATTTTTAGCTTTAAAAACATTGCATTTATTAAAATTTGACATAAAATATAAGACATTACACCAGAGATAACACAGGAATAATAATGCATCCAATGTTTGGCAATGTTATGGATTAAATTAAAAAGTTATTTACCATTACTTATCTCCACATTATAAAGCACTTTATATAACAAAATAGGCACTGAATTGGGAGCGATATTATAATTATGAAACATATTGATAATTTTGAATTTATTATTTTATGAAATTACAAGCAAAACATGTGTCAATATAAGTGTTGTTTGTTTAATGTGTATTTCATAGTGTGATGCGGCGCTCGGGATGAAAGAGTTCTTCAATATGCTATACTTACCGCCCACTAAAGTAATGCTCTTTGGAGACGCCTGTCCTGCCGTTACTGATCCTATAGCAAAAGCATCAAGGTTCTTTAATCTCATCCAGGTAAATACAATTATTTGTTTATTTCTTATTGTAAGATATAAATTACCACTGTTTTCCTAACGCTTACCGATGTTTTAATAGATATATTTTAGATGTTGTTTATAAAATATTGCAGTTAGGTAACATAATTAAAAGTAACTCCAAACTAATAAAATATTTGCAACTTTTACCCAAACAACAAAACTGTGGCTTATAGGATTTAGCTGGGTCATCCACATTTATTTTTAATTAATCTAGTTTAAGATACTGAGGAATTAACTTTTATAAATTATAATATATGTTATTTATAAGATATAATAATCTGCTTTGTTTATATAAAATTGGATTATATACAAACTCTTTAGAGTAAAACTATAGGATATTTTAGTTATATAATTAATTATCATACAGTATTATAATAATAGCATATATAATTATTTATATTTTTAGTATTAGTCTTTTATAAAGATAATTTGAGCGAACATATTTCAAACCCCGATGAATTAAAACAATTCGATACAATAGTTTAATTTATCACAAATAAAATTGTTTTATAAATCATTAATCAATTCGTCGGAAACTATCGTCGAGAGAAAAAAAACGCTAAAACAAAACCAAAACTGAATAGCAATTAAATTAATTCTTGAAAATTATTGCTACAGTTTTATTCAAATAGTGAACACAAATGTAAACTTTAATTAGAGGAATAAATATAAATTAATTAATTAAAAAAAGTTTGTTTTTATTTTTCGCTACAAATAAGAAGTTTAATTAATTATCAAAAGATTAATGAAGTGATGAATTTTCAGTTAACATATGCGGACACATTCACAGCACTGACGCCAAACTTTTTTCGGATCGTTCCGAGCGAAGCGGCCTTTAATCCAGGTATTGATTTCACTTAAATCATTAATTATATCCTTTCTTATCCAAGTGAATTAATTAGCTACTATTCTCAACCGATAGGAAGATTAGTTAATGTAATAATATTAGCGAATATTTGACTTACTAATAAAGTTACAGACTAACATTACTTTCCGTTTAATTTTGAACACTATTTTGTTGTATTGGATGTTAATATATCAATAAATGATTAACACGTTTAAAAACTACAGCTCGAGTCGCAGTCCTTAAAAACTTCAACTGGACTAGAGTTGGGACAATCTATCAAAACTCTCCCCGATATAGTCTCGTGAGTGTCATTTATACGCATTTTATACATTTATTTCATATAAAAAATGATTTTAACTTAACTTAAGATATTACACTATTGTATATACAGTACAGTCACTATAATCTAAGTGTTTATATTATAGTTATATAAGACAATATACTGTAGCAATATATACAGTATACTGTACTTTATATTGTCTTAAGCCGACACGCAATCAAATGATTGTTTTAACAAATCTTTCATAAATATATTTATTATATATAAAGTTATATAACTTATATCTAATATAAGCAGTATCACTTAATTAATCGATGATAAGAGTTGGCTATCCTTCTAATCAATTACATTATTATAATCGCTTATAAACTGAATGATTATTTCAATGTCTGATTGTAATGAAAGGCAAATTAAAACTTGTGATAAGTGTTGTATTGGATGTTAATATATATATCAATAAATGATTAACACGTTTAAAAACTACAGCTCGAGTCGCAGTCCTTAAAAACTTCAACTGGACTAGAGTTGGGACAATCTATCAAAACTCTCCTCGATATAGCCTCGTGAGTGTCATTTGTACTTATTTTATACATTTATTTCATATAAAAAATGATTTTAACTTAACTTAAGATATTACAGTATTGTATATACAGTACAGTCACTATAATCTAAGTGTTTATATTATAGTTATATAAGACAATATACTGTAGCAATACTGTATATACAGTATACTGTACTTTATATTGTCTTAAGCCGACACGCAATCAAATGATTGTTTTAACAAATCTTTCATAAATATATTTATTATATATAAAGTTATATAACTTATATCTAATATAAGCAGTAATTCACTGCAAACATAAAAACAGCTTAATTACAGATTTGGTTTTTTTTCAAGAGATTGCCTATTCTTATAGTCTTAATGTACAGTATATTACTTAAAGTCATTGTTTCGTTTGATAAACTTTCATAAGACAATGCTTTTAATTTCCGTTTTCAGCCCCACAGCAAGTTGTTGGCAGACTTGGACAGAGCCAACATCGATATCGTCGCCTCCCAGAGCATCGCTGATGAGCTGAAGCCGGAGATGTACCTGCACAAGTTTAAGGCATCAAATCCACCATTCAATCTATATGCTAATGCTTTACAATGTATTAATGTATTGCACAATATCTATATATCTATCTCAGGACAAAGACATCCGAATCATTTTAGCCAATTTCGGTGAAGAATGGGGACAAAAAATCTTTTGTCAGGTCTGACATCATTTCCTATTCATATACTAACGCTTAACTATTATGTCAGTATTTAATGTCATATTACATACATTATGATAATATTAATATTAGTAAAAAAGCAAAATTATTTTTATCTCCAAAACACTGTTTTATTAGCGGATATAATGTATGCAAAGAATCAAATTTATTTAAACATTAAATTTGGTGCAAAGAATGACAATCTGAACAAAATTCTCTGACAAACAAAACTAATATTTAGCAAACATTTACAGAATTTAAAGAACAACACAATTCTGTAGGAATAGCTGTAAACCTGTTTTAAATATATTATCTCCTATTGTATGTAAAATTATTGATAATGCAAGAGATGTGCGATTATTTAAAAACAATTGCATTGCATTGTATTGTAAATTTAAGTGAAGTTTAAAAAAACAAATAGATTTAACATAATTGATATAAAACAGAGTTTGAATTGAATTATTCATTACTCATCGTTTATATCACAGAATACATAACTCTATACTCTTTTTCTTATAATACTATACATTATATTTCATAATATTCTGTATATATTGTGAACACAAGTGAATATACTTTCTGAAAAGTTTTGCTAATACTTTAGGAAATATGACAGAAATAAATGTTCGATAACTCTATGTAAAAGTCATTTATTTTCTGAACAAAAGATTTTCTTTGCAACTGAAGAAAGAAAGTGTTGATCGAAATTTTGATTTAACTTTTTCTTTGTTGAAAATATGAACAATCGGTTGAACAAAATTGAAATGTAATTAATTATTTAATTTCTTATATATAAATGGCTTTAAAATATATGTTTTAATGTTAAATAATAAATGATTGTACTCTAACTCTATGTTCAAGAATAAGTCCAGAATTAATTCAAATCTAATGGCTTTGAATCTGGCGATTGAAATACTATAATATATATGATATTAATTTTAGATTTGAGTACAGATCCGAAGCGAGAGTTTTTATTTTTAAAAATAATGTTTTAGATTATATTGTAGTTGAGTTCACAACTATTCGCTCTATATATCCGTATATATTGTATGTGTGTTTGAAATATCGCTTTTTTAAACTCAAACCGATATTTATTTTGAGCATTTGATGTATGTTTTACTTTAAGAAAATATCTCACGAATAGTATTAGAATATTTCATAAAACCTTTTATTGATTTTGGTGTTATGTTTGCTTTAATGTCATATATTTCTTTGCCTCTAATACTCAATGTTTCAAATGTTTTCTACTGTGGACTACAATAATGTCTTATTATATTATATATACGGATACAGTGGTTGAATGGCACCCGTTGTCCAATAGTCACACCGGCTCTCGAGCTTTACTTTACTCTTCAACCTTTATTTCTAATTTAGTTTTTTAATATCTAAACAATTATTTATTTCTTTGTCAATGAAATTAAATCTTAATCTAATATTTACACAAATAATTGAATACTTTTTTTTTGTAAATAAAATAATTATATTAAAAATAAGAGCAATTCTAGTTATAACGGTATATACCATATATATTGCACAGATATGTAGTTTAGTGCAGACAACCACCAAAAGCATTAAAATTAAAGAAATAAATTTTATATGCCATTAAATTTACGAGAAAATCGTTTATTTAGTAAAAATGCTAATAAATATAAGCATTTAGATATTATATTACTAATAGTATTATAAATGAGTTGTTTATGAAATGAATGAATTTATATAATGAATGAGTTGTTTATGAAACAGCTGAAAAAGGGGTATATAATTATGGTGATTATTTTAATCATATTATTGTCATATAATTTAAATCTAATTCAAATATTGCGTCAAATATAGCAAATGTTTGATATAATAATGTTGTGTTTTGATGAGTGCGGGAATGCAGTCATGAGAATGACTTCAATAACATGAATATGGATTCAAAATACAATGTAATGCTTATTATTGGTGTTGTTGCGGATGGTTGCAGATGTGACCATACATTTGCAGCCATGTATTTGGATCCATAAGAATATTATGCTTTACTATTAATAACTGAAAAATAATTTAATAGAAACCCTAATTGAATCAATGCTCTAATGTGTTGACACGTTATATAACTATTTAGCCTTAAATCTCTATAATTGACTATTATTTAAATCAAATATTATGTATTTTACAGCAAATTTGTCGTTTGATTTATTTAATTAATTATTTTATGTGTTTAATATTTTAATATTGCTAATTGAACAGTAACTATTCAAATATAAATACTTTTGGTATTATCTTAATTGACTTTCAAAGGCGTATCTATTTTTAAAAAGGTTAAATTATTATAAATTTTGCTAATATTTTAAACTACTGAATGTAATAAAATGATATATAAACGAGTCAATCATGATACACTTATTTGACAGATTATATTGGGTTTAAATTATATGATTGATTCATGAAGGAATAAAATACGTCAAACTATAGTTTCGTGCATTAAAAACACCAATTAATTTGATTAAAAATTATTTGCAATGTTTTTGGTCTGCAATTGAGTGAGCATTTGGTATTGTATGGCATAGTTATAATATGTCACATACCGTAGACTCGATATTTAAACAACGGATAAACATTTATGCAATTATTTGTATACATTTTAGATTAAATTTAATCATTTATTTGTTTAATGCAAATACAATAAGTATTAAACAATTTGTTTGCATTTCTTAAAGGCATATAAAGAGGGTCTCTATGGAAGAAGGTATCAATGGAACGGGATGAAAGAGTTCTTCAATATGCTATACTTACCGCCCACTAAAGTAATGCTCTTTGGAGACGCCTGTCCTGCCGTTACTGATCCTATAGCAAAAGCATCAAGGTTCTTTAATCTCATCCAGGTATTTAACATTATTTGTTTATTTCTAATTATAAGCTATAGATTACAACTGTTTTCCTAACGCTTACGATGTTTTAATAGATATATTTTAGATGTTGTTTAGAAAATATTGCAAAGTTGGGTAATATAATTACAAATAACTCCAAACTAATAAAATATTGCAACTTTTACCCAAACAACAAAACTGTGGCTTATAAGATTTAGCTGGGTCATCCACATTTACTTTTAATCAATCTAGTTTGAGATACTGAGGAATTAACTTTTATAAGTTATAATATAAGTTATTTATAAGATATAATAATCTGCTTTGTTTATATAAAATTGGATTATATGCAAACTCTTTAGAGTAAAACTATAGGATATTTTAGTTATATAATTAATTATCATATAATAATAATAATAATAATAGCATATATTATTATTTATACTTTTAGTATTAGTCTTTTATAAAGCGAACATATTTTAAACCCCGATGAATTAAAACAATTCAATACAATAGTTTAATTTATCACAAATAAAATTGTTTTATAAATCATTAATCAATTCGTCGGAAACTATCGTCGAGAGAAAAAAAAACGCTAAAACAAAACCAAAACTGAATAGCAATTAAATTAATTCTTGAAAATTATTGCTACAGTTTTATTCAAATAGTGAACACAAAATGTAAACTTTAATTAGAGGAATGAATATAAATTAATTAATTAAAAAAAGTTTGTTTTTATTTTTCGCTACAAATAAGAAGTTTAATTAATTATCAAAAGATTAATGAAGTGATGAATTTTCAGTTAACATATGCGGACACATTCACAGCA